TCCCTACACCTGTCGTAGGATCCCTAGACGGATCCACGCGGCTCTGGTAAAATCCCTAAAGGGAGTCACACAGCTTTGGTAGCACCCCTATAAGGTTGAGTGTCTGGGGGGGCGGGGGCGCGGGGACGTAGGGGCGTGGGGGGGAGCGCCGGGGCCCCAGTGGAGGACTCCATCAAACATCAGTGAATAGCGAGGAATCTCGCGGGAGCCGTCGGAGTTGTTGTTGTTGTTGTTGTGTTGTTGGGGGGGGGGGGGGGGGCGCGCCGGGGGCCGGCGCCCGCTCCTATTCAACAACCACAACAACAACAGCAGCGACAACACTTACTACAACAACTACAACAACAGCAGAAACAACAACAACACAACCACAACATCAACAATAACATCACCAACAACAACAATTATCCCAGTGCGACTCGGAGTTGGAGCCCCTAGGAAAGCAGCATTAATAGTAACAGTAAAGCTAAGCTAAAGCTAAGCTAAAGCTAAGCTAAAGCTAAACTAAAGCTAAGCTAAAGCTAAACTGAAGCTAAGCTAAAGCTAAGCTGAAGCTAAGCTAAAGATAAGCTAAGGCTAAGCTACATCTCAGCTAAAGCAGAGCTAAAGCTAAGCTAAAGCGAAGGTAAAGCTGAGCTAAAGCTAAGCTAAAGCTAAGGTACAGCTAAGCTAAAGCTAAGCTACAGCTAAGCTAAAGCTAAGCTACAGCTAAGCTAAAGCCAAACTAAAGCTAAGCTAAAGCTAAGCTAAAGCTAAGTTAAATTTGAGCTAGAGATAAGCTAAATTTAAGCTAAAGCTAAGTTAAAGCTAGGCTAAAGCTAAGCTACAGCTAAGATAAATCTAAGCTAAAGTTCAGCTAACGCTAAGCTAAAGCTAAACTAAAGCTGAGCTAGAGCTAAGCTAAAGTTAAACTAAAGATAGGCTAAAGCTAAACTACAGCTAAGTTAAAGCTAAGCTAAAGCTAAGCTGAAGCTAAGCTAAAGCTAAGGTAAAGCTAAGCTAGAGCTAAGCTAGAGCTAAGCTAAAGCTAAGCTAAAGCTAAGCTAAAGCTAAGCTAAGGCTCAGCTAAAGCTCAGCTAAAGCTAAAGCTAAAGCTCCCAGGGGACTGGGGGAACCGCGGGGCGGATCCTGGGGGAACCGCCCGGGGCGATTTGCACTGCCCGGCCCCTTTAAGCACAGAGAGTAAGAACCCTTCTAGGCAGAGCCTAGGTAGGGAATAACAGCAGCAACAGCAACAACAACAACAACAATGAGGTCAAGACTAGCTATTCGCTCTTATTCTGCTTGCGTTCCTTTCAACACGTGTATACCAAACCTCGATACCCGACATCGTTGTCTTCGATCGTACCCCCTTAGGAGTGTATCTGTCATATCTGCAACGTTTATTTCGTTCAGCCCCTAAGGCAGAGGGAAGAGAGGACGGATGGAAGGAGGGGACAAGGGGCAGGCCGGTTGCTGAAGCGTGCGTCCTGCGAGATTTCCAAATAAGTCATAAGGAAATCCACAGCGATAGCGTGATTCCTGAATGCCGGCGGCACGGCGTTTTGTTTGCTTGGGACTTCCCACGCACGCCAGCTCTGGGCGAGCCCCCGCGAACGGCACTCGAGGCGATCGCATGACCGCCTCCGCACTCCCTGTCGGAGTGCCCGCTGTGCACGGCGCGAAGCGCACAGATCATCCAGGCGGAATAATCACAGTGCAACAGACACATTCACGCACAGGCAGGCCAGGCAGCCTCAATCGTCCAGGCCCCTGCTGTCCTTCGGGTGCAGGCCTCGAAGGGTGCGGCCCGCTGCCCGGCGCCGCTTCCTGCCCGCCCTGCTGGGGTGGGCGGGCCAGCCCAGGCACACGCCCTGGCCGGGCCCTCCGTCCGCCTCTTGGCGTATAGGCCCCGCAGGATGTGCGAGCCGCGCAGCCGTGCACCTCGCGGACCGCATGGAGCTTCTCGCCCGCGCCGAGGGCACCAGCTTGGGCCGCACGGTGCGGCAGCGCCGTCGGCTTGGCTTCCGGCGCGCGCCAGCGCGCGAGAGCGCGATCGGGGGAGAAACTGTGAGGAGGCATCAGGCGGCAGCCGCTGATGTTAGAAACCCGGGGCCAGGGGCCCCATTTGGTGACACCTCACTTTCCATTGTAAAGGGCAGGGTGCGAGCCCTGGGAGAAGCACTTCAGTTAAAACATACAATGTTGCCGAGCAGGGGGATCAGCAATAATCATTCTTTAGAAATGAGGATTCCACCACAACAACAACAACAACAACAATAACAATAACAATGAAATACAAATTGCCATTGCAATCGCAGCAACGACAACAACGACAACAGCAGCAGCAACAGCTATCATTTTAAGACGAACCGTCCTTACTTGCCCGCATGTCATGCAAACCGTACATCTCCAATCCTCGATACCGCTCTCTCCGTCTTCGATCGTACCCGCTTGAAGGTATGTATATCTTCCTTACCTGCCACGTGTAACTGATGCAGCCCCTAGGACAAGGGAAGAGAGGACGGATGGAAGGGGGAGGGAGGAGGACGGAGCACGAGAAATTCGCAGGAGAGGGGCTAAGGGCAGAAAACACGTGGCCGAACCAGATGGGCTGATCGGGCGGGTCCAGCCTCGTTGGCGGGCTGGAAGGCGGGCCTGGGTGGCCAGGTCGAGCAGGCGGCTTGCTCCAGCGTGAGTCCTGCATGAATCGCGAGGAGGTCTCGAGCGATAGCGCGATTCCCGAGTAAATCGCGAGAAAAGCCAGAGCGAGAACGCGATTCTTGAGCGTCGAGGGCGCGGCGTTTGAATACATTGCGTAGAAGTCCCACGCGAGAGCGCGAATTCTGCACACATGATGAGGACGCTTAGCGCGAGAGCGCGATTTAGAAATTTTGAGATAAGCAAGACACTGTATTGGAAAAGCACCGGGTACACTGGGGGGGGGGCGAGCAACTAGGATCTGCCATTCGAAATGATAGCTCAACAACCATTTCGCCCTCATGCGCCATGCCATTACGTGCCACAAGCACTCATCATGATGCCAACCCCACTCAGGAAAACTACACGAAAGGGGACGATGATTCCCACACCCAGATCTCCCGCCCAGGGAGGTCGAGCCGATGCCTCGCCCGAGGCACTTTCCCGCTTCCAGCCTGCACGACACACGAAACAGAGGTGCGTTTTCGGGAGCGGTGAGGATTCCAAGCACGAGAGATTCGGTCTTAGAAATTTGGCCCCTTCCCTGCGGTGGTTTTCAGAAGTCTTCGAAAGTTCGGGCGGTCCCTGGCCCTTTCAGGGCCTCTTGAGGCTCCCGAAAGGCGCCGGGTGGAGGGCGAAGGACAGGAGGGAGGGAATCCCAGGGAGCGAGGAAAGGAAGCGGGTGTGGGGGAGGACGAGTGGTGGAGCGCGAGAAAGAGGAGGAGGAGGAGGAGGAGGAGGAGGGCGCCGTAGGGGGACGGCGAAGACTGTTGCAGCGGGTTGCAGCGGGTCGCAACGGGGCACGCGAACGCAAGTAAGTCTTAAGGAATGCACTGAATCCCAGGTTCGCAATAGATTTCCGGCATTTGTGGTTGCGAGCCCAGGATTCGGGTCAGTTTGGTGGAAACGTGTGGGCCTTCTTGGAGCCCTGGTGGGCTGGCTTAGGGCCGTCCCGAGCCGTCTTAGGGCCATCTTTGGCAGTGTTTGGGAGCTTGGGCCCTCTAGGGACCTTACGGGGGCTACGTAGGCATTCCTGGTGGCCTCCCATGGCCTTTTGGGGGGCCTCCCATGGCATTCTTGGGCTTCTCTTGGAGGCCTTGTGAGGGCCTGTTGGGCCTCTTGTTGTCTCAGTTGGGGCTTCCTTGGGCAGTTTGGGGGACATCCAGGCCGTCTAGAGGCTCTCTTCGGGGTCTCTTGGGCCATCTTGGGGCGATACCGGAAGCCTTTTTGGCTGTTTTGGACGTTGCTAAGACCCGAACAGCGAATGTGCTGAACATGTAAGTTTCCCTCAGGGAATGAAGCGATGTTTGCGTTCTGGGAGTCCTGTTGGGGGCCTCCTGGGCCGTCTTGGGGGCCTCTGGAGGCCATCTGGGTCCTTCTTGGACCGCTCTTATTCTGTCGTGGGTCTTCCATCGACCTCTCTGATCACCGCTCTGATCGCTTGGGGGCCTTGTGAGGGCCTGTTGGGCCTCTTTGTCTCAAGTGGGGCTTCCTTGGGCAGTTTTGGGGACATCCAGGCCGTCTAGAGGCTCTCTTCGGGGTCTCTTGGGCTTTCTTGGGGCATTACCGGAAGCCTTTTTGGCCGTTTCGGGCGCTGCTAAGACTCGAACAGCGAATGTGCTGAACATCCCTCAGGGAATGAAGCGATGTTTGCGTTATGTGAGTCCTGTTGAGGGCCTCCTGGGCCGTCTTAGAGGCCTCTGGAGGCCATCTGGGTCCTTCTTGGAGCGCTCTGTGCTGTCTTGGGTCTCTCTTCGGCCTTTCTGGTCACCGCTCTGATCGCTTGGGGCCTACTGGCAAGACCCGGCTATGCGCCCTGGGAGGTCTGGGACGAGCTGGGGGACTTCTGGCAAGGATGTCCGGGGGGCCTGGAACCCCCCCCGATCCTGGGGGTCCTGTTTTGGGTGGGGGGTTACAGGGTTTTCCCACACACCCGGCTTGCAATAATATGGAAAAAGGAATATCTATATGAATATATATATATATAGGGGAACACCCACAAAACAGAACCTGATTCGAGCCCCAGTCGAGGGGCTGTGTAAAAGCACCTCCGCAAAACACACAGGCGCCCAGCCCCAGGAAAAGGGCAAGCCATCGGAACCTGCGCACACACGACGGACCCGAACCCCAGGCGAGGGGCAGCGGAGCCCCCCTCCCTCTTCCCAGGGAGCAGGGGGGCGGTGGCTTGAAGCTGGGGCCCCTCCTTTGATGAGAAGTGCGCCACGAGCGCGCTCTCTCACAAGCATCCCCCTCGTCCAACGCATCCCGCGCTCTCTCCGCTCCTCCTCCTCCTCTTGCTGCTCCCCGTTTTCCTCCCCACCCTCCTTGATGCTCTTCAGGACGTGGAGGGTCGCAAAGAGCTTGCACTCGCCGACGGTCACCCCAGACTTGGTGAACTTCCCGGCGTCGTAGCCAGTCCCTCCGCCAGACTCTCCCGCGCCATCCTCAAACCCTTCCCGCCCTCCCCTCTCCGGCTTGGCCCCAGTCTCCCCACTTCGCGCCTCGCGCCGCACGATGCGCGACGCTCGGGGTATCTTCGCGTCTATCGCCCCTGCGACGCCCCCTTGTGGGATAGCCAAAAGGTACCGATACCGCTACTCCCAGGACCTCTCTCGGGGTGCGTTCTGACAAGAATTTCGAAGCCAATCCAGCGGTGGCGTCGAGGGCAGCCCAAGAGGCCCAAACAGGCGAGAACGAGGGAAGGGTAGCGGTGTAGGTACTTTTTCCTCCTCTGACCCTTGGGAAGGGCAGCTGTTCTTCGGACCGGACCGCAACGTACGCGAAGCGCGGATATATTTACCTTGGCGCCCCTTTGGGGGACCCATAGCCTCCGCTCCCCTCCATTCGGCGGCGAGCGAGGGGGGAGGAGGAGGAGGAGGAAGGAGGAGGAAGAGGAGGAGAAGGAGGAGGAGGTAGGAGCACGAGAAGAAGGAGGGGGAGGGGGAACAGGGACGAGGAGAAGGAGGAGGAGGAGGCGGAGAAGAAAGAGGAGGAGGAGCAGCAGCAGGAGGAGGAGGAGAAGGAAGAGGGAGGACGAGGAAGAGGAAAAGATGGAGGAGGACGAGGAGGACGAGGAGGACAAGGAGGACGAGGAGGAGGAGGAGGAGGAGGACGACGAGGAGGAGGAGGAGGAGGACGGGGGAGGAGGAGGAGGAGGAGGAGGAGGAGGAGGAGGAAGAGGGATGGATAGACAACGCCGGAAAAGGTCGGGAAGTGACAGCACCAAAAGCACCGGGGGATCGACCCGAGTTAAATCGCCCCTGAGGCTCGCGCAGCCTCTTCTTGAGCTGCAACTCTGGCGACCAAGGCCGCCATTCGCTGCTAATGGTCGGGGGCTGAAGGAGCATCCGGGAAAGCTCGCGGCACTGATGCAACACTCCGACAGCACCTCGAAGTAGCATCCGTTTCAAAACCAAGTCGCGCCACAGGCAACGCCTCATCAAGCACTTCACGGACCTTCAAGTTCGGGCCAAGGCCTCGCCGAAAACGGTTCAGGACATCCAGTCCTTTACGCGTTGGATCCTGGCAGACCTCGGCGAGCTTCACGGTTCGCCCTTGGCTCCAACCCCCGCATTTCAAACTCAAAATTTGTTGCCCGCGACACGGTCCCCGCGGGCCCCAAAACGAGGAACATCAGGAGCCGAACCCGACACGGCGATGAGGAAGTGCCCCATGGGTTCACGCAGCAGCTTCTGGAGAGCATGAGGCGGGCCACGACATCCAGTCATTGGCCTCTCGGGTCGATCGCACACCATCCAACATTGTCTGCAACGCATACCTAACTAGATCGACGCCACAGATGCCAGTTTCGACTCTGCCGACTGCGACTGGATGAGAAGAACGAGGCTCTCGTTCACCTGACGTCGTTCTTATGCAGCAGACGAATTGCCGACGCAAGCTTCACAAAAGCATTGGTTCGATCCTGATACAAATCAACACGCTGCAAAAAAACTGGGGTTTGGCCGCGGGTGTCCCTTAAGGGCCTTCTTCGCGTGCTCTTCCACCGCACGATTCGCAAAACCAGAACGCCTCTCATCACCCTCCAGGGCCTCGAGGGCCTCCAGCTTTCGATGGGCCTTCACATGGAAGGTGGACAAAAACCTTGCGCCTCTTAGTTCGAACCGCCGAGCACCAGCAAACTTGGTGGTTCTGGCAAACTGTTTCCAAAGGGGCCTGTGGGTCTTGCAAGCCAGGGCTAGAAAATGGGGCGACCCGCTACTTGGCCACACAACGCGGCTGCAGCATGTTCAACCATTGCCGGTGACTGCGGCAGACCCCCTGGAACTATACTCCTCAAAATAGCTAAGAGAGGTTCGGTGCCTTGCTCCAGCAGGGCGATTGACCACGACGCTCGATGCAGCCAGCGGAGGGCCTGCTTCGTGCAGCTCCCGTCTGCCGCCATTTCGAATGCCACTACATTTCATGCCAGGGTCGCTAGCTGCTCAGGCTGCATATCTAAGTCGGCCCTTGCGCCGTCCAAAATCTCGCAGTGGGAGCTGGTGCAGGGGGGGCGTATCCACATCACTGAACACAAAAAGACCACGAGTGAACACAGGATCATCGCTGCGCGCCCCCTCCTCAAGAATCGTCGCTGGAATGTCTAACTCGCTCTGGACCTCGACGGCCTCAGGGCAAGGACAAATGTACAGACGGTGGTGCAAGGTATCACGCTGTCCGTCCACACCACTTGCACAGGCCATCCATGAGATATGCTGCATCGCACGCGCGAAGAACAAGAAGAAAAAAGAGCAGCCTCGGAGGTCGGCTGCCTGGTGCGTACCGGGAGCAGGAGGAGGAGAAGAAGGAGAAGGAGATGGAGAACGAGGAGGAGGAGGAGGGGGAGGAGAAGGAGGAGGAGGAGAGGGAGGAGGAAGGAGGAGGACGAGGAGGAGGAGGAGGAGGAGGAGAAGGAGAGGAGGGAGGAGTAGATGAGGAGGAGGGGGAGGAGGAGGAGGAGGAGGAGGAGGAGGAGGAGGAGGAGGAGGAGTGGAGGAGGGACGAGGAAGAGGAGGAGGAGGAGGAGGAGGAGGAGGAGGAGGAGGGGAAGGGGGGCGGAGGCGGAAGAGGAGGAGGAGGAAGAGGAGGAGGGGGAGGAGGAGGTGGAACGCGCGGAGACTGGCACCTCAGAAGGCCTTCTCAGAAGGCGGCGGGGCCTCTCAAAGGCCCTCGCGCCTTTTGAGAAGTCTTCGATGCCTTCGGGGAAGGCTCGGGACACTTCTCGGAAGGCCGGGGGGCTTCCGAGCCTTCAGAAGGCCCGCCCCTTCTCACTTCCCCCACGGGCTCGCCGCTGGTCCCTTCCTCTGCCTCCACAATTACTCAATATGAATATACTCTCCCTCTTCCCCTGATGGCGTCCGGGTGATAGCCGCGCACCCTCCGCGTATTGTTTTTTTACACACAGGATGCCCGGAAAATCCCGGGAAACGACTCTCGCTGAGGCGCCGGCGTCATTTGTTCCCAAAATGCTGCTCTCGTTGAGGCGCCGGCCTCATTTCTGCTCCCGAATCGTTCCGAATCGTGCTCCCGCTGCAGCGTGGGCCTCATTTTCGGATCGGTGTTTGGCCTCCGTCGTTCAGGATGGCGTTCTCGCCCCAGCGCGGGCCTTTTTCTCGCGCGCCCATCCGCCCGCCACCACCGCGCCGCACCACCACCACCACCACCACCACCACCACCACCACCACCACCACCACCACCACCACCACCAGCACCAGCACAGTACCAACACCACCACCACCAGCCCACCAGCACCAGCACCAGCACACCACCACACCACACCACCACCACCACCCCACACCACCACCACAGCACCAGTACCAACCCACCACCACCAGCACCACACACCACACACACCACCACCACCATCACCACCACCACCACCACCACCACCACTACCACCACCACCACCACCACGACAACCACGCACACACGCACGCACGCACGCACGTGCACCACCACCCACTACGCACGCGCGCGCGGAGCCACAGGTCCGCTACGACACGCGTCCGCGGATAGAGAAAATCAGCGCCATGGTAAGGGATGGGAGGGAGGGGTAGGACGTCAGATATGACGCGAGCGCACCTAGCTTTCCCCCCCCCCTCTCCCCCTCAACCCCTCAGTTCCCATGCGTTCTAGACCAACCAGGAACCCGTGCAGCACCCCTGCCACCATCCTTCTCGGGCCACGCGCAGACGCGTTCGCAGAATCCGCGACAGTGCGATCGGTGAGGCGCGGTACCGAAGGCCCGCCCGCACTGCCCAGGCCACGTCCCGCCTGGCCAGTCGCACTCGGGGCTGGCGGGCACTGCGCAGCCTTTGCATCAGCAGGGCGCACACGCCTTGGACACTGCTGCGTTCAGCATGGCGTGGCGGGGCCCGCCCACTGGGAGCGAGCCGGCGAGCGAGACGGCGATACTGTGCCAGCAGATTCGGCGAGGCGCTCGTGCTCGTGTAGGCGAGGCGCGCGAGGCACATCGGAGCGAGCGAGGCGCGGCGCTTGGCCCGTCCACGGGGCACATGAAGCCAAGGGCGTTCAGGGAGCGCGTCCTCTGCTGCCCGCTTTCCGGGCAGCCGCTTTCCGGGCAGCCGTGTACTCGGCCAGTCCAGCAGGTGGACTGAGATCTCGAGGCAGGACTTCAGGTCCAGCAGCTTCGGATGCTTCTGGAAGCTTGACGCGACGATGTGTACAGATCATGCCAAAGTGCTCTCAAAAGTCCGCGCCAGCGGCATGGCTGTCTGTCCGGAACGACCAAAAAAATCTGCACCAGAGCATCGCCTGGGCTGAAGGTCGCAGAGAGCCGCTCAAAGCTTTGGCTGCCATCGCCTGGCACGTGTGCGGCGGGCGCTCTGGGGAGCAGACCTAGGCGTCTGCTGCCTGTCAGGAAGTCCCTCGTCTGTCTGCCAGGCGGGGGAAGGAGGGAGGGAGGGGAGGGATGAAGAGCCCACAGAAGACACGCGCGCTCCCAGCCAAGTTCGGCGGCGAGCGAGAGGGGGAAGTGAGAAGGACACGGCCTCTCAGAAGGCGGCGGGGCTTCTCAGGAACCGCCCTAGCCTTCTGAGAAATGGTTTGTGTTTTCGGGGAAGGCTTAGAAAACTTATCAAAGGTCGCGGGGCTTCGGAGCCTTCTAAGAAGGCCCGACTCTTCTCAGTTTCCCCTGTGCTCGCCGCCAACACGTACCTGAATACGGCAACCTGGTCGACCAGGCCAGCTCCGTGATGCGAACGCGCGCGCCATGCACACCCTGGAAACATACGAACGGAAACCAGTACAAGTAGATTGTTGTTGTGTCTCTCCTGAAGAGAAGGAGGGCGCCGCGGCAGCATCCCGCCTGCGTGGAACTTCTCCAAGAGCCCCAGGAAAACCTTGAGCGGCTGAAGCCTGAGCTTGGTCGGCTCGGCCTCGGTACCAGTCCAGAACTCGTCGCACGCCTCCTTCGGCTTGTCCTTATTGAACTTCGTGGGCTGCACCCGAACCAGGGCCTCGTAGATCTCCTTGCTGGCGCGCAGAAGCCTGCAGGTTACTGGGCCTCCTGGCGGGCCCTCGTCGTCACAGCTGGGTTCGCCTCGAGATCCAAAGGTCGGAGCGCTCTCAAGGACAGGTCTGAAGGTCGGTTGTAGAAGACGAAAATGGCTTCCATATAACCTGTCGGAGGTCCGCGCGGAGTTCTTGGACCGGCGCTGATCCCCCTCCCTGGCGAGCGGAGCGCGACAGGGGCGGCGCCGGAGGCACCGCCAGGAGCCCCAGCGCCGACCCAAGAGATCCGCGCGGACCTCCAGAAGTTCACGTGCATATCTACTTGTTTTCTTCGAGGCCTCCTAGACGGGGTCGGGGTAGATGAGGTCGGAAGATCGCGCCGCATTGCCGATGCACTGGCGATGGGGGCGATGCATCGGCCATGTCGGCGTGAAAAAAGTCGAGCTCCACATCGAGCCGCATCGCCGATGCATCGGCGATGCGACGCGACCCTGCGACCCCCCATCCATCGGCGGCGAGCCCAGGGTGAAGTGACACGGGGCGGGCCTGCTCAGAGGGCTCGGAAGCCCTCGCCGGCCTTCCGGGAAGTGTCCTGGAGCCTCCCCCGCAGACGCCGAAGACTTCTCAGAGGGCACGAGGGCCTCTGAGAAGCCCCACCACCTTCTGAGAGGGCCTTCTCCTTCTCCTCCTTCTCCTCCTCCTCCTCCTCCTCCTGCTCCTCCTCCTCCTGCTCCTCCTCCCCTCCTCCCTCCTCCCTCCCCTCCTCCGCCCCTAGCCCTCCCTCCCTCCTCCTCCTCCTCCTCCTCCTCCTCCCTCCTCCTCTCCTCCTCCTCCGCCTCCTCCTCCTCTCCTCCGCCTCCTCCTCCTCCGCCTCCTCCTCACACTCCTCCTCCTCCTCCTCCTCCATCCTTCCCCTCCTCCCCTCCCTCCTCCTCCTTTCGCTTTCCCCCGCTGGCGCGCCGGCCCAGTGTTGTTCTGGATCCTTAGCTCGGCCTCCGGCGGCCCTTAAGGGGACGCCTCGGGCACCCCCCGGAAGGGCCCTCGGCGAGCGCAGCTGCGGCAGGCCTCCCGATGCTGGATGCCGACGAGCACCGACGAGGAGGCACAGAAAACCTCGAACCTCGAGCTGTCCCCTCTCCTCCTCCATCCTCCTCCTCCCCTCCTCCTCCTCCTCCTCCTCCCTTCCTCCTCCTCCTCCTCCTCTCCTCCTGCCTCCTGCTCCTGCTCCTCCTCCTCCTTCTCCTCCTCCTCCTCCTCCTCCTCCTCCTCCTCCTCCTCCTCCTCCTCCTCCTCCTCCTCCTCCTCCTCCTCCTCCTCCTCCTCCTCCTCATCCTCCTCCTCCCTCCTCTCCCTCCTCCTCTCCTCCTCTCCTCCTCCTCCTCCTCCTCCTCCTCCTCCTCCCTCCTACCTCCTCCTCCTCCTCCTCCTCCTCGCTCCTCCTCCTCCTCTCTCCCTCTCCTCCTCGCTCCCCGCGCGCTCCGATGCCGACCCATCCATAGGTGCGCCCCCCCCAACGCCTCGCCCTGCGGTAACGGCATGCTCCGGATCGTGAAGCCCCCCCCCTCTTCACCGTTCTGTCACGAGGATCCCCCTCGGGACCCGAGGCCGCTCCTCCTCTTGGTTGTGTTCGTCGGTTTCTCCTCCTCTGCCCTCCTCCTCCTACTCCTCCTCCTCCTCCTCCTCCTCCGCCTCGCTCCTCCGCTCCTCCCCCTCCTCTGCCTCCTCCGCCTCCTCCGCCTCCTCCGCCTCCTCCTCCTCCTCCTTCTCCTCCTCCTCCTCCTCCTCCGCCTCCTCCTCCTCCCCTCGCTCGCCGCCGAATGGAAGGGAGCGGCTATAGGCCCCCCCCTGGGGGCTCGAAGGCAGATATACCCCGCTGCCCTTCCCTCGTTTTGCAATTACCATCCCCCCAGAACCCCGAACTCTTTTCGGCGGTGAACGGCCAATTCCTTACTCGACGTGTCAGGGTAGGAGGTCTGTCCACCCACGACATTTGATCCCCTGGGGGCAAGTGCCGAGGGCTTGCCGTTCGGTCCCCCGCCGCACGCCGCCCGGCTTCCTCCGACTCGGAGACCAGCTGCTGGGAGATCATGTAGTCCTCCGCCGGGGGGCCCCCCACGGTGAACGTGTTCTTATTCGGCGTTTCGACATAGGAGGAAAAGGAGGAGGAGGAGGAGGAAAAGGAGGAGGGGGAGGAGGAGGAGGAGGAGGAGGGGGAGGAGGGGGAGGAGGGGGAGGAGGAGGATGAGAAGGAGGAGGGGCAGGAGGGAGGAGGAAGGAGGAGGAGAGGAGAAGAAGGAGGGGGAGGAGGAGGAGGAGGAGGAGGAGGAGGGGAGGAATGAGGAGAGGAGGCGGAAGAGGAGGAGGAGGAGAGGAGAGGAAGGAGGAGGAGGAGGAGGAGGGAGAGGAGGAGGACGAGGAGGAGGAGAAGGAGGAGGAGGCTCCGGATCCCTGCTTAGTGCGATGGTCTGGAACAGGGCGTCCATTATGGAGGAGATTCCACCTGCTCGAAACAGGCGCCAAAAACAGCCAGGATCTATTCAGTGGGGGGGGGGGAGGAGGGGGTGCGAGGGCCCGCGGCGATCCGCAAAACAATGAAAAAGAAAACGATCACCTCCCCTCAGACCCTGGCGCTGCAATCTTTTTTCACAACGGGCGCCTTCGCCAGAGTTCGGGACCTGGGACCCTCACAGATCGATCTGGTTCGAGGAACCCTGAGATCCGACGTAGCGAAAAAAAACATCGTGAAAAATCACGACCAGAGCCCAAGACCCCAGTTTTCTGCACCATTTTTCGAGCCGGATCGATCTGTGAGGGCCCCAGGGCCCGACGCCGGGCGACGTGCCCGTCGCGACAAAGATGGCAACGCCAGGACCCCGGGGAATGGCGCAGAAAGAGAAATGGGGTCGGGGGCTCTGGTCGTGATGGCTTGCGATGTCCACGTCTTTGTGCCAGTTCGGATCTCGGGAATGGCGCAGAAAGAAAAATGGGGTAGGGGTAGGGCTCGCATGTGGCCCCCTATTCGGATCTCGGGGTCTCCCCCATCCCCTCCGCGCCGGCGCCGAGCAGGCTGCCCCACCCGCCCGCTCGCCCGCCCTGCCGCCCAGCACGCCGCTGGCCCCGCGCGGCCGCTGGCCCGGCCCGCGTGTGCTGGGGACTCTCTCCCTCGCTCTCTCCCTCCCTCCCCCTCCTGCCCCCTCCTTCCCTCTCTACAATTACTCAATATGAATACTACGCTCCCTCTTCCCCTGATGGCGTGCTGGGAGTAGTAGACCCCCCCCCCGCGTACTGTTTTTTACACACAGGATTCCCGGGAGTTGGGTTTTCGCCTGCGTTTTTTCAAAATGCTGCTCTCGCTGAGGCGCCGACCTCATTTCTGCTCCCGAATCGTTCCGAATCGTGCTCCCGCTGCAGCGTGGGCCTCATTTTCGGATCGGTGTTTTGCCTCCGTCGTTCAGGATGGCGTTCTCGCCCCCACGCGGGCCTCTTTCTCGCGCGCCCATCCGCCCGCCACCACCGCGCCGCACCACGCCCCGCCCCGCCGCACGCACACCCACCGCCACTTCCACCCACCAACGCACGCACGCACGCACGCGCAACACCACCGCGCACCGCCACCACCACCGCACTACCCCGCCCACCACCACCACGCTACACCGCGTCACACCACATCACACGCGCGCACACACAGACACACACGCACGCACGCACGCACGCACGCACGCACGCACGCACGCACGCACGCACGCACGCACGCACGCACGCACGCACGCACACACACACACACACACACACACACACACACACACACACACACACACACACACACACACCACCCATCCACCCCACCCCCCCACCCACACACACACACACACACACACAACACACCACCACCACCACCACCACCACCACACACACCGCCACTTTCACGCCACGTACGCAACCTGGCCACCCACCAAAACACCAAGGACGCCACACCACGTCACACACAGCAACAGCCACACGTCGCACAAAAGCACACACACACACACAACACATACAACAACACCACCAAAACAACCACAACCACGCACACACGCACGCACGCACGCACGCGCACCACCACCCACTAGTTACGCACGCGCGCGTGGAGCCACAGGTCCGCTACGACACGCGTCCGCGGATAGAGAAAATCAGCGCCATGGTAAGGGATGGGTGGGAGGGGTAGGATGTCAGATGTAGACGCGAGCGCACCTAACTTGTGCCCCCCCCCTCCCTCCCCTCCCCTCCCCCTCCCCGTCTCGCCCCTCCCTTGCCCACAGTCACCCCCAGCATGCTTCGCACCACGCTGGTCAGGTGTCCAGCCCGGCGCACTGCTGGGGAGGAGGACCCGCGCCGCCTCCCTACGTGCTGCTGTTCTGGTCTGTTCCCTGCCTCCTCAAGCGTAGCATCGGTTCGAGGCGTCTCCGTCGTGAGCTCTGGGCTTCTTCGCGATGTCTTGGATTAGGACCTTCGCCTTTTCGCGGCTCGGGGGGGGGGGGGGGCACTTTGCCTGGTGGCGAAAGAGGGCACAGTGTTGAGAAGGCTGGCAGCCAGAGCATAGAGTGCAAGTGTTGTTATCGATTTCCTCACATGCACCCAGTGTTTCGCATGTGCGCCTATACAGCTGCTTGTGTCCACTGCTACTGGATGGAACTGCATCCATTCTACTGCTGGGAGTTGTTGCAACCATTCTTGTGTGACGGAAATATTGTATTGGTTAACTGTTCTTCCTGCCCTTCTTCATCGACCTCCGTCTCAGGCTGCGAGTTGGGGCGTCACCTCGAAGCCCACGTGGCAATGACCCACCCACCCGCCCGTCACCTAGGCGAACCTACCTCGTGCCCGTCCTTTCGATCCAACGTTGGAAGCGATGGGCATTAGTGGTGGCCTGAAGATACGTCAAGGTCGCACCTTTGCCTGTCGTGCATACAACGGGCAATCCCCGAGTACCATGCCATTCCATCGTGCGACCACTGCTGTGGTCGTGGAGCACATTGCAACTGGCATCCTGCAGGCTGGAGCTGGGGGGCTGTCATACAGCTATACCATGCTGGTGCGTAGCTGTCTGCTTCCCCTCCGTTCCCTCCCTCCCCTCCCGACGCCATGCCATGGCATGCTACGCTCTGCCGTGCTCTTCTACGCCATGCCATGCCGTGCTCTACCATGCATCGCGTACCCTCTCGCGATCATTGCTCTGCTCGACATCCGACCGTGCGAATAAAGAGGGTATCTACGCAATGATAAGGAATGGGAGGGAGAGGTAGGACGTCAGATATGATGCGAGCGTACCTAACTTGCCTCCCTCCCCTCCCCTCCCCACTCCCCCCCTCCGTCACCAAGTGCTGCCAGTGCACCTTCCACGCCCTTCGCTTCAACGCTGCGCAGCGCCCCATGCGCCCGCCCATCGTTCGCTCCCCTCGGGAGGTCCTTCGGGCGCGCGCCTTTGAGTCGTCCACAACCCCAGCTCCCCAGAAAAAGACCTCCCCTCTCTTCTCCGCCAACCCCGCCCAGCCCACCACGTGGCGGCACGCACAGGAGGGTAGAAGAGAGGGGGGGGGGAAGGCTTCTTGGAAGGAGGCTGCCTCTTAGACGGCGCCAGCCTTACATCCATAGACGAGGCCCGCGCCTTCTAAGAAGCCGTCCCCCCCTCCCCCTAACCCCCTCGGCGCGTGGATGAATCACTGCCTCGCCTATCCCTACCCATGCCCAAGCACCCAGCGCGTCGATTTAGTGGAGGGCCCCTGGGACCGAAGAGCCAGTCTCTGGAGGGGCTACAGAGGGCGACAGACCGGCCCCCTCGATTTGATTCAAGGCGCTGGATGTATGGCCCCCTCAACTCACTCTCCCCCGAACTCACATTTGGGTGACCCAAAAGGGGGTCCAGCTGCAAGGGGGTGTGCAATAGATTTGGGGCAAGTGTCTTGCAAATGTACTGCGCCAGAGAATTGTATTGCATTGGATTGCAACTACGATATATATATATATATATAGCACGCGAAAATCCAGCAATACATTTGTGCCCTGGAATGTATTGTACTCCCCAAATGTATTGCAACCCCACAAATTCTATTGCATCAAATCTATTGCACCACCCCCTTGTCGCTGGACCCCCTTTTGGGTCAACCCGGTTAAATCGAAGCCAGGACGAGGATAAAAGCGGGTGAGGAGAAATCGAGAATTTCTGAGATCTGCCGGCTCTGGAGGATGTCTCGGGCGCCGCGGCCTTCTCAGAGCGTTCCGGAAAGCTCTGAGAGCGTTCCGGAACGATCTGGAACGGACTTATCGTCCTAGCCCCGTCTGGCAACTCCCTCAAAGGAGGGCCGGATGAGGACAAAGTAGGGCGCGTTGCGCGTCCAGTCAGCATGCCATCGGGGAATCGGGCTCGATCGTCGGAGCGCCGGGAGTGCAACCTCTCCACAGGCAAGCGCTGGGCCGCATCGGACCGTCGGAACGCAGGGCATAGAATCGGATCGAGCCCCCCCGGAGTCAAGGCCACCTGCCGTCGCGCACAGCGCCCCGCGACGCCAACGCGCCACCGCGCCGCCCCCCCGCAGGAAGGCAGCCGCTCCGGCCCCAGGCCGCGGCGCGCGCAGCGCGAACCTCTCTGCGCCCCCCGCGGGTGAGCGAGGAGGAGGAGGAGGAGGAGGAGGAGGAGGAGGAGGAGGAGGAGAAGGAGGAGGAGGAGGAGGAGGAGGAGGAGGAGGACGTGCGTCGAGGAGAGCGCCCACCGGCGGCGCTGAAGCCGGCGGCGTCGGAGGACCGTGCCGATGCGAACGGGAGCAGCGGGCGCTGCTCGAGGCAGGGCTGCGCTCGGCCCTCGCGGTGTGGCCGAGGGGCCCAGCGGCCCGCGGGCTGCAGCCAATGGCAGCCTCCGCTCCAGCTCCCTTGAGCCTGTTTTTTTGGATTCAGGCAAGTTTACTTGCATGGCGTTCGCCCCCCCCCCCCCCCCCCCCCCCCCCCTCGCCCCTCTTCAAGCGAATACTAGCGTGCAAGTGCCTTTCGACTTGCGTGATTTCCGAACGTGCAAGTCGTTTGCGGCTTGCTTCAGGCTCAGCCCCCCCCCCGTCCATGCAAGTAAACTTGCCAGAGTCTAAAAAAAAACAAGCTCCTTGCCCCCGTCCCCTCCCTGCCGGCCTCTCCCCGTCCGCCTCCGGGCCGCTCTGGCCCTGCTGCTCACGGCGCTGAGGGGCGCGGCGGATCTCCGTGGCCAGCGAAGAGAAAAAAAAAAAAAAAAAAAACAAAAAAAAAAAAGCTGGCTGCATGCATGTGGCAGATCGCGTCCACCCCGCGCGGGGCTGCCCCCCAGACCAGCCCTGCTCGCCCGTTGCCCAGACAGGCCTGGGGAGACTGAAGACCCGAGCGTCCGACGGTCGGTCTGTCCCATCCGCGGCCTCGCTGGAGGACCCGAGCCGTCCCCAGGGGAAGTTCTTCGTCCTGGATCCGCTGCGGATGGCGGCCCTGGACCCGACCACGGGCCCCAGACGCCGACACCGAGGAGAAACGCCACGATTGAAAAACCATGCTCGGGAACAGCAAAGATCTTGTGAGCTTCCCTCTCGTCGACCTGGTCGTCGTCGTCATCGTCGTCGCCGCCGCCGTCGCCGCCGCCGCCGCCGTCGTCGTCGTCGTCGTCGTCGTCGTCGTCGTCGTCGTCGTCGTCGTCGTCGTCGTCGGGACCCCCTCTCCCTCGGCCACCCATTCGTCGTGGCCATCTTGGGGGCAGTGAACGCGAGGCACGAGGGCAGGTCGCGCCGTCCTTCGTCGTGAAGCCCCCCGCCTTTTTGGAGATCTTCGCCAAGTAGCTCAGGATGGCCAGCTCGTGCCCGAACGTGCCAGCCCCTGGCACCTCTGGGTGCAGTCACAGCCCAAAGATTCGAGTAGGGGATTGACTACAGAATTGATTTACCCCAGAATGGACTTTCTCGCCGAGTCCATGCATAAAACGTGAAATTATAGTTCTATGAGCAGTGTACGAACGTTGTTTCATGTTTCCAATGAGAAAATCAACTTTGTGGTGGGCAAATCAACTCTGCAGTGCAACCCCTACTCGAGCGATCCTGTGCACTGCTTCTGCTCCAGGGCGGGGCCCCCAGAGGTCTGGGTCCCTTCCAGGGGGGGGGGGGGGCTGGCTTCTCGGCCTGAGTCGTCTGTGACAGTCTCGAATCGCTCCTCTCGGCTCTTCTCCTGGAGCCCCCGCAGGGCAAACGCAACGAAACATGCCACACTGCTTCTAGTCGGAGGCCAGGGCGGCCACGGTGACGGCGAGTGCCTCCCTTCGAGGGGCCTTGGAGGACCAAGACGGCCAGAGCATCGAAATGTTGCTGCCTCTGTCTGGCTCCCCCGAGGCCTCCGGCGGCCTTCGGAGACCTCTGCGGGGATCTGCGCAAGGCTCTCGGGACCGCTAGGAATCTCCTGAGACCTTCGGAGACACCCGAGCAGGGGGAGGAGGAGGAGGAGGAGGAGGAGGAGGAGGAGGAGGAGGAGGAGGAGGAGGAGGAGGAGGAGGAGGAGGGGGACGGAGAAGGAGGAGAAAGAGGAGGAGGAGAAGGAGGAGGAGGAGGACGAGGGGGAGGAGGAGGGGGAGGAGGAGGAGGAGGAGGAGGGAAAGCAGGGGGGAAGGAGGCCGTGAGGACTGCCTCGGGTGCTCCACGGTTGAGATGCTTTCAACTTGTCGCTGCACGTCGACGGCGGAAAGCGGGCAGCGGCTGATGGCCCAGACTGCATCCGTGTTCCTGTAGCCTTAGGTCGGGCATGTCCTCCTACAGGGGGATTTTTGACGAAAAATTATAAATATGACAAAAATGCTCAAATATGGTCAAATACTGCTCGACAAATCGTCCCCAGACAATGTTTTTACCATCTTCGAACATTCCTCATGTAGAGGGTCGCGCCCGACTTAATTGTTGCCATGTCGGTCATGCATCTGCAGCAGCAAGTTTCCCCACTTACTGCGAAAGCTCTTGCCCTGGGACAGGCCGCACAGGCACTGGCAACCACAACCGCTGCTTTCCATAGGGCCAACGACAGTCAGCACGCTGGCCTGGGTCATGAAGCCAAAACAAAATAAGAAGAAGAAGAAGAATAAGAAGAAGAAGAACAACAACAACAACAATAACAACAGCAGCAGCAACAGCAACAGCAACAGCAACAGTAACAGCAACAGTAACAGCTCGAACACCAGCTCCAACAACAACAACAACAACAACAACAACAACAACAAAACACTCTCCTGCAACGTTGCGGTTTGCTCGTGACGTCGGCCCCTGGCGGATCTCACCCACTTCCCCAGGGCCAAATGTTCGACCCGAATTGTCTTCTGGCGACCCCGTGGCTGGGAAACGGCCACCCCACCGTGAGATCCCGACGTCCCGAACCTGTTCAGCATCTTCAGACATCATGACCAGAGCCCCAGGCCCACTCTTTCTGCTGCAACTTCTCGAGCCGGATCGATCTGTGATAGCCCCGGGGCCCGACACCAGGCGAAAACGCCCAGTGTGACACAAAACGCCTGGGTCATAGGGGGCGCCGGGGGTGACGAGAAGCGGAGGTTGCGACGGTGCTGCGTCGCCCAGATCTCGGGGGCCATCCAAAACAAGGGGCGCCCAAGAGGGGGAGGTGCGCACCATTTGCCGGAGCCACGGGCCCGGACGAGGGGGGGGCCAGGGGACACGCTGAAATAGGAGGAGGAGGAGGAGGAGGAGGAGGAGGAGGGCACCACGAAATCTGGGCATGTGGCATGTCCCCAGCCAGGATGTCCACACGCCCCTAGTGATCACCACCTGCGCGGCCACCCCCGAGGGATCCGAGGGGGCCTGCACGCGGAGGACGGCCAGGCGGACCCTGTCTCCACGCGGGCCGCCCAGCCCCACGGGGGCCGCGGGCCTTGCGCCGGAAGGCGCGTGTGTCGTCACGCCGGCTCGACCGTGGCCTGGAGGGGGAATGGGCCGGGAGGGGCCCCGGGAGTGCTCGGAGCTGGTCCCGAGCGGGGCCCTGGCTGGATGGGGGGGGGGCGGGCGGAGGAGAAGGGGAGGGGGAGAACGAGAGCGAACGAGAAGGAGAAAGAGGAGGAGAGAAGCAGCAGCAGGAGGAGGGAGGGGAGGAGGAAGAGGAGGGGAGGGAGGACGGGGAGGAAGGGGAAGGGGAGGAGGGAGACGAAGAAAAGGAGGAAGAGAAGGGTGGACGAGGAGGAGGAGGAGAACGAGAAAGAGGAACAGTAGGAGAGGATATGAATACTCAA